TTTATGAATTCAGAGGCATCAATCAATAAAGCTCCTCTGTATGCTTCAGGTGTATCCAGCCTTTCCCATTGTACCTGCCAACTTGTGTACAGATGGTACTTACTAGCTGATATACAGTAGGTATTAATAACCACTAGATATATTGATATTTTTGTACTGAAGCTGCAAAAAAATTTAACTTTAAACATTTCTCACCAACATTTTATTGTTAATAAAGGAGAAATGCAGGACAAACTGAAACCTGCCACTTAAACTAATGAAATTATTTTAGGGTTAATAGCAGACTGACTCATTGCACCTACTTCAGGGAGAAGAAACTGGGAAGATAATTATTTTAAAATATTTGTGGAAAAAATAAATGACTTACTGTAACTCACATCTCCGCCAAGGCTGCTCAATTCCCTGAATGTAATTCTCATAATGATTTTAAAATGTTTTAATCTGCATCCGGATCTGCATCACAATACACATAGGGGTTCTCTGGCGTTAATGGGATGCATGTGACAGATTTAATTCAAGTGAGTGAAATTTCTGGATCAGCATGCAGAGCTGTAAAAACAAACAAAAAATATAATCCCTGGCAGAGGTCATAAAAACATTTTTATGTAGCTATGGATATGAAGGAACTTACATTATACTATGAGTGAAATATATTATCTGTCAGTCTAATCATAGCTTTTTTTTTATAGAAAAATACAACCATGTCTAAAAGTAGGGACACAAAGAGACAATTGCATTTTACCCTCCAACAGTTCATACAGTTAAGAGTATACAGTAGAGTTTCTCGCTACAGTGAACACAATTCATTAACCATGACAAAGAATTTGGACCACAGGTCTAATAAATCACGCTGTTTGTTTATAGACATGTTTTTGCACTGTCAAGATACAGTAGATGATTGCAAGGAAACAAGCTTGCCATATAAAAAAGGGATGCCAGAAGTTACATATTCAGGATATGGATATCATTTCCGTGATATGCCCAGACTGCAAGGGAGTATTTTTCCAGCATCAATGTTCAAGGCCACCCCGCATTTTTAAATATGTAAATGGAAAAGAACATCCTGATCTTGGCAAGTGCAAGATCTCAAATACCTTCCAAAACACATTTTAGGCCATCAGACAAAGCCTTACTTTGGAGTAACCTTTCAATTTGTAATAATTTTAGGAGGTTTGTTGGTGATTTTCTTTCTTGTATTTTCTTTCTTTTTCTGGAATAGTATCACTGAAGTTAACATTTTAGATACTTATGGACTTTGTACTTTTGAAATGTTGTGACAGCAATAGAAAATTAAATATTAAATGGTATCTATAACATAATATAATCTGACACATGTCTAGTTGTCATTACTAGTACACCAGTGTACCAGTTAGTACAGTACCACAACAGGCATTAAAGGCTAAGGCTCCACCTCATGAACATAGCATTCATGACATCATAAAAAACACATTTTTACATATGTTTGAAGTGATAAGTTATAGTAATAAACAGTTATAAGAAGTAAATATTTTTGATTAGCAACAACAGAAGAACTCATGAGCATTAATGTACAGTACAGTACCGTGTAGCTAACCAGAAAGTGCACTGCCGCAGTGAGCAGGTTCAGTGGATGAACAATGATCACAGGCCATAAACATGAAAGTTAAGGTGCAAATCCATTATGCTTTTTCTATTACATTCTAATAGATTAGTATCCTTTAAATCACAGTTAATACAAAATGTTTAAGTTTATGAAGCTACAGATTTTCATTAGCAATTTGATGAAAGTGTTATGTTGATATAATGGCAAGTTAAAAGATAATATATTTCTGAAAATAAATCTTGTGAAATGGGATGTGATTGTTTTGTAATTCTGTAGGCTAATACTGGGACTAAAATCATCAGTGCATTCGATGAGTAATATATTTACATCTTACAATAATGTCATACTTCTTTCTTCTTAACTTCTGAATCTCTGCAGATTCCCCAAACATTTTACAATGAAATGATTAAACGAACAGGTTTTTTTTTTTTTCTTGTTTTTGTTTTGCTTTCTTCCTAGCACTGTTAAAGCAATTACTGTGGTGCTGCTAAGACAGCATAAAATGCAGAAATGTTACAATTACCAGCAATAATGACATTACAACAATCAACCACATTGTGTATTATTCTTTCCATGGATACCATGAAAAAGATGCAATGTTTACGAGCTTGTTAGAGGAAGACGACATAATTCTCAGGGATTAAACCTGTTCTTCCTTCGTATGTTGCTTGGAGCCAGCCTGGTTCAACAGAGGCGTAGACTGCAGGACAAAAAGACAGAAAAAAATACCTCAATCGAAGAGAAGAGAGAAGCAGACTCTTGATGTCTAGTGCAACCTGATTACAATCACTGAGCCTGTATTTGGTTGTAGTATTCCCCAGACTTAGTGAATAGCCGCAAAAAAATGAAACAAAAATATGGGGAAAAAGATATTAGGCAGCAAAACAAACACTTGAGGAAGACTCAGGGCCAGACTGCTCTTTAAAGTCAGTCCCTATGGAGTATTTTAGCGGTCTTGAAAGCAGAATTGCCTTTCCTAATCAGACACGCACACAGTATAAACCCTAAAACAACAACATTAATAATGCACCGAAGAAGAGATGCACTAAATTATGAGGAACAGCTTTAAAAATGATCAGCAAAAACAACCTAACAAATATGCTGAATAAGGATGTAGAGAGATATGGCCTGTTAATGTAGAGAGCAATAAAAGTATTCTGCCTGCTGTTAAGTGGTAGGGAGCGTTTGTTGACGTTTTTGCGTTTAGCTGCTGGCTCTGCTGGCTGTGTTAACAGGGAACAGGCACTGGTGCTTTCCATTGCCAGGTTACAGTGACCTGTCTGCACTGGTTGAGTGCCAAGTCATCTCTGCACGGAAAAGGCAAGAGGCAATAAAATATCCTGGGGCTGTTTGGATTTTAGCTATGCATATGGGTGTTTCACGCTAAGAGCAAAATTATTTTATTATTTATAACAGTGGGAATTAGCCAAGTGCTTGCTGTGTCCTGCCAGTACACAACAGACTGCCTGTGTACACTGTTCAAATGTCCAATAATAATACACAAGGAGGTATGTATGCTGTTGTGAGCACTTCTGCAGCAAAATAACTATCAGCTAAAGCATATAATGTCTTCCTTGTATTGGCTCTACTCACCATTTGAGAAGTGCGCCCCCTGGGGGAAGCTGAGCTCGTGGCTGTGCTCTGCCTCACAGGAATACATCGCTTTGGCGTCTCTATAAAGACAACAAAAACAGGCAATGTCATTGCAGATTTGAGGAGATGAGAGTTGGATTATTTAGGTAAAACCATGGTAGATGGTGTCATGTTTTTACAGCACCTTCCGACTGGAATAGACTGAGGGTTGGAGGCATTTTCAAAAAGCAGTGCTCTGGCAGCAACCCTGAAACAATAAAAAACAATAGAGTTCACAACACTTGATTGTATCAAGGATAAAATAAACAGCTGAAAAAACTGTCTGGTAAATGACATCATCTAAAGTAAAATATGTCCTGTGATCAAATGATCAGAGTAAACAAAATACTAGTGTAATCTATTTTGACATATCAATTTGTCATATCTATAAAATCAACAGTGCTGCCTCAGTGAGCAATTCTAGCCAAAACTAAACCAAAACAAGCCAGTCCACTTTCTCTGCCCTGCCAGCGTTCCTCATTGTTTAGAATGAGGTGAGAGGCGTAACGACACGATACGGGAGGTTTCCTTCCTCCGGGCGGACCTCAGCACGGTGCTGAATTGAATTAAACTATATAACAAGACTTCACTTGACCCTGCACGCAACAACCTCAGAGTCAAGGGGACAACAGAGCCTAGGGCAAGCTGGGTGGGTGCTATACAAGGAAACTACTTGAGAGACTATGTGACTGGCTTCTCAGACACGACAAGTCAAACAATCTATTTGTCCCAAGAGAACGAGTACAGACTGCTGCTGGGTCACATCAACCCCAGAGCAGGCAGAGCGTAATTAAAGCCAGCACTCCCACCAGAGGAAAAGACATAAATCTCCTAACACATACTCATCTGATCTTAGAGACCTCTCAATGCTCAACGCTCATACACAGACGAAGGGGGAGGCTGATGACTCAGAGGGGAGAGACAGAGAGAGGGAGGAAGATGGAAAGAAATGTTCCTAAACTATTGTCCTCAAGCCTTATTGACTTGTAGTTACTCTGTGGGGAAACCCATATATATATGTACATATATATCCATAAATACAGTAACCAACTATTGTTTTAATTATTAATTATTCTGTCTGTTGTTGTTTTTAATAGTTGATTAATCATTTTGTCTATAAAATCTTAGAAAATAGTGAACAATTCTGATTATTGTTTAATTACTTATTTAACTAATCATTTCAGCACTGGGTTTCAGGTGAATAATAATGAATAAAATGTCCACAAGATAAGATTTCATACATATAGCAGTTGATAACATTATAATGACCAAAATGTATAGTTTTTTATAAATCATTACACTGAGCCAGGTCTTTGGTAGCCGTTGCTGACAGAGGTGTCCATCCTGCGGCGGATCACTTGTTTTGGTGGAAGGTCTGGGTGCTCAGTAGGCTTTAAACTCTCTTTGGGCTCCACTGTTGACAGACTTTGGACAGATCCAGAGCAGCTCCTGTGGCCTTCAGGGAGAAATACACACAATAACTCCTGTCTCCATGTAAATGACACAAAGACACTAAAGTTTGATACGAGAACAGCTCACACACTGCAAGTAACGCAGGAAATGAGCCATGTAAATAATATTTTAACACTGCTGTTAATATTATGCCTGAGTCAAGGGGGTGCTGTCCATCTTTGAAAGCATTAAGTCACAGAGTAATAAGTTATGACAATAAAATTGTCCAGTTTATGAATTCTGTCCTGAAAATGACACTTTGATGAGGTTTCTTTCCACTTCATTACTGCAGGGGAAACAAAATCAATGAACTAATGACAGGCAAGCATCAAGTGGCATTACTTGCTGATTATCCTACCTTCAGATATATGCAGTGATTTCAGAGAGGGAGCAGCTGAGCGATTTAGCAGTGCGGGCCTGAGGTCAGTGCGGCAGTGGGGGGCTTTTTTAGGAGCAGGAGACAGCCTAGGTGTGGTGCTGACTGAGGACAGGCTGAGAGCGTCCTCCGACTCTCCATCTGTACGCCCTGCATCCTCCTTGGAGCTGGATTCTGGGCTGCTGACACATACAGTGCTCCTGGGGCCATTTGAGAGCTGTGATGGCGTTCGGTGGAGGTCCAGGAGCGACTTGTCCTTGACCTGAGCAGAGGAAGCTGTTTTGGAGGAGCTATTCTGCTCAGAGGAGTGGGAGGACAAAGACTCCATGCTGCCCATGGGGGTGCTGCTTGGACTGCTGCTAAAAGTGTCACCTATGCAGGGACCAGAGAAGAGGCACACAAGGCCCTCATTAAAACCTGCTGAGTGAGGAAGTGACTGTGGTTACTTTATGGCTTAAAGAAAGACAAAATAATATTCATTTGCAAGGGTTATACTGGCTTTCCATTTAAAATAGTTGAGAAACCAGCTAATAAGAGGTGAATCTTTCAGAGATTTTGTGGGACTGCATGTGCAGATGTCTGATAGATATTAAAGGCCACCCATCGGTTTTGGGAAATTGTGGTGTGATGACCTGTGGCGCTAATCACTGCTTTGGTACTCACTTTCTGCATCTGCCAGGCACAATGTTGGGGTGTAGAGGCTGCGGGGCTTTCTGGGCCCTGTGGACAGACAGATGGCCCTACTCCTGCGAGAGCCAGGCCGACTTTGAGGTTGGGGCAGGGGGACATTGGGATCCGGAGGCTGGTGAAAGATCTGGAGTTCCAGAGAGGAGAACAGATTACTCAACACAACAACACAATCTGTGTATTCCTTGCACATATTGGATTATTGAAAATTTTTAAGTTTATTACCAATCTTTTAAGGCAATCACTACCCAGTGTTTGATGAAATAGCGATATATACCTTGAGACATACAGTTTATCAATACTGCAATATGAAATCAAGATAGAACCTGCATCATTTTTGCAAAATATAAAAAAGATTGCACATCATCAGGATTTTGCCCATAAATCTGTCCTTGGAAATAGGGAAAAGCTTGTGTAAGAGTAATGGTAAGGTGAACGGGTAAATAAAATACCTTAAAAAGTAAGAATTCAATGTACAATAGGTTAAATTGCGCAGGTAAAATGATAAATGTATATGTATATATGTATATGTCCAAAGCCAGATAATGACTGACCTTGATGAAGTTCTCGATGAGTATTTCCACCACAATGTTCTGGAACTTGATGTTCATCATGGCGGCCACCGTTTCCTCTTGTGACCGCATCAGCGTAGGCCCAAAGATGACACCCAGGTTGGACACCGTCATCAGGTTGTACTGGCTTTGTGTGGAAACTCTGCAGGTAGAGAAGTGTAAGATGCTGTTCTCTGCTGATACACCCGTAATACAAAGTCTTAACAATGTGGTGACAAGTTTTGTTTTCTTTACCAGATACTGACAGTTTTAGAGACAGCTATAAATGCATTAAGGTGTCCCTGAACTGTGAAGACAATTTAGTCAGTGTTTTTTATCTCCTCTCATCCTTTAAGGCTGCAGTGTAACTGATTCATTACAAGAAAACGTACGTGACGAGGTGTTTTATTAGTAGCTCCAGCATTTCCTTGTTCCTCTCGGGCAGCTTATGAACCAAAGCATGAACAGCACACACCCTGTAGTTCTGATCATCTGACTCTGTGGAAAGGCAAATGGATCTAAAATGATCAAGAGGCTTGAATATTTAGACAGAAAAGGCAAAGCTGACAATTATTACTTATTATTAACTAATAATTATTACCTTTGACACCATATCCAGAGGTGTAGAAATAAGCAAATGAGCACAGATTAAATCAATTTAACTTGTCAATTTGACAGTATGTGAGCTGCTTAATTAACATGGCATGTAGGCATTTTCTGAGAAACTATTAGAACTATCTTCCCTCACTTGATTTCCCTACTGTCAGAGCCCTAATGTAGTGCCCACAAAGCTATCTCACTTTATATAATATATCTGAAATGCGGTTCAGTTCAAACTCATTTCCCATTTAAAAGGTTAGATGCACAATATGTTCATCTGATCAAAATATATCTAAAAATATAGAATTTTCAAATTCATATTTCTATCTTATGACACAAATACAGTTTAGCCATATACATCCTTGATCAAAAACAATATTTGACCTGACAACTTAACAATCTCTCTTTCATGTAAAATAATTAAAAAAAAACGAGCAGTTAAAAGATAATATAAAATATAATTATATTATAGCTGTTAATAACTTTTCAGAACTTACTGACAGCCATGATAAAATCTTTGTGGAACTTGAAGGTCATTAGAGGCTCAGAGAGACACCTGGTAAATAAAGAGAACAGTTATCATTTATTTCCTGAATGACATGGGTCTTTTGAATTCAGCCACCTTTCTTTGTGAGTCACTGGCAGCACTGAATGCATGACTAACACCAGGGAGGTTTCAAAGAGGCATTATGGAGGTAATGATGATTCCTGACAGCTAAAGACGCACAGCTGGTGGGGCAAGCTGACCTGAGGTAATTCTTCAGACCGCTGGTGATAGTTTTGTTATCCCACGTCTCCGGATCCAGGTCCATATCCACTGGTGCCTTGGAGGCTATTAGAAAACACATTTTATTTTAAATCACCAAAATGAGAAAGCTGTAAAGTGTCTGAAGAACGCAATACAGCCAGACATGACCTGGCAGGCTGCTTAAATGAGCATTGAAAATACTGACTGTTCTGTTGTGTAAAGGGACTCTGGAATAAATGCAAGAGCACAAGAGTGCATGTGTGGTGTCTCACAGAGATGGAGATCAAGCTTCAGAGAAACCTTAATAAATCATTCAGACATTTCCTGTTCAAATGTATGCAAACAGGATTACCGTGGGTCATCTAATAAAGTAATGACAAAGCAATGTGAGGCCAGATGGCTGTTACACTGTCACACCACAAGGAGGACCTCTTTCCTCACTCTGCTTGGTCACATTATGTTTGCTAAAGCTCTAGATTCCATTTAAGATGGTTCTAAAAAATGAGCGGTTCATACACTAGAGCTTTAAAAGCTACAAAAAAAAAAGGTCATTAAAGCATTTGGAAATTACAGAATTATGTATATGCATATGAGAATGTCATTAAATACTGTAAAGGGTACACAGAAAGACTCTGAGGACAGAAAAAAGCATTATAATTCCAAGCTTGATAGAGACTGATAATACCTTTAATTTCGTCTCCAATCCCTTTGAACACAGATTTCATTAGCAGTTTATATTCTACTGAGCTATGAGTTTTTTTTTTTCTGACTTTAAGGATACTTACAAAAGACTGTAGTCATCAGCTTCTGTACTTTGGAGTTGACCCCTCCAATTCTGTACAGTCCCAATGTATTTATCCCTGCATGGCAATGAAAAAGGAAATGAAAGAATTTTAATAATGAAGATTTCTTGTAAGATGTGTTGTCATGTCCACTAATGAATGAAACACATTGTTATTCATAATCATAGCAAAGCTGCACTCAAGTCATCTGGCAAATTAAAACTGAGAGATTTAAATGCCTCACCTCTCATCTCCACCAGGTCAACGCATTTCCTTACAAAGTTAAAGCCCGCCTCATTAAGAAATGCTGTAATACAACATGAGAATAAGGTTGACACGTCAATTACCATCGGTTAACCACACATCATGCAGGAATTATAAGCTCTCCCCTATGCTTGTGCTCTGACTAATAAGATACAACCCCTGTGCTGGAAGGCTCCGCTATGTCAGATGAGTGGGTGTTTATGTCAAGTAATTGCGTTAATGAACACAGATAGCTATAGGTAATAAAGTATGTGTTTGATATGTGTGTTGGATATTTTATTATTATTTTATTTAGCTGAATTTATGTATTTCAATGCTGAGGGGTTTAGAAAGATACAAAAAACACACTTACTCTCTTCCTTCTTGCTTAATATGGCTGGCAGGTTGTAAATCTAGAGAAAGTTTACAAAAACATTATTAAGTCACGGAACCCCTTGGTTAAAATTGTAAAATTGAACAAAATCCCAGGAAGAAGAGATTTATGTCACAGTTTTTCCCAGAGTTCCTTTGCTTTAAGTGGACTGTCCTATTCTTAGCACTAGTGGATGGTGAGGTCATGGTTTCTTAAAAACACTATACCTGTACCCACCAGAAGAGGGTGCTAGTTACCCAAACTTCAGTTTTGGTATTTTCTGTCAAACAAACAACTAAAAAAACATCCCAGCCAAACAGCAGCCAGCAAAATATGAATATTTCAGAACCAAACAGGCAGAGTTCCTCACCGGCTCCTTGCCATCCATGGCCTCCAGCCACAATCTTCTGTTGGACTCTGACAGTGCCTGCAGTGTCATAACGCCATGCCTGGAAAGATTTCAGAGAAAAGCTGGTCTCAGTCTGATCTCATTGCCTTGGGGCCCCTGGACAGACCATGTTTACACTGGCTGAGACCTCTATAAAAGGACTAGTGTGACTAAAATAGCTCATGTGCAAATGCTTGACTTCAAACTGTGCCCTCGGTTGGCGTGGTGCTGCACATTCCACTCCCAATTAAATGCTACATGTGCTTAATATTAGAGTGACTCATTTTTTTGCACCCAACATGCATACACTTTCATCTTGTCTGTGTTCTATAGCACAGCAATTGTTGTGTCTCATGTCTCACCTGCTACATAGCTTGAAACTGGTCTGAGCATTATCTGCAGTTGATACACAGCAGTGCTACCGGATGTAGTAACACCTAATGATAACATTATGTGATGGTACTGGCAAACAAAACCAAAGCCCACCCAATAGTGATAGTTAGTACTAGCATGGAGCCATGTCAAGTTGCATGTGTTGTGATTAATATTGACCAAATTAATTAATTCTAATCTTACCTCTTAGGGGTATCTCGCCATGCAGACAGTGTTGGATTTATTTGACCAGGTTTTGAGATATCTATCTCTGATATATAATTATGCGTCCACCCCAATACAGTTTGGGTTGAAGGAATTTAATTTGCGATGCTCACAACCTTAAAAACATTTAAAATAATCAACAATCTTTCTAGAAACAGTGACACTGTTAATCTAATTCACAGAACACCCTGCTATCAGTTTTCTTTGGAAGTACTTTTGCTGAAGTCCCTATGAAAGCTGTGAAAACAGTGAGGTCTGTGGATTAACTAGACACTCTTTCTAGAAAGAAGTGACTTCTTAATTATTATTTTTTTATTGCTTTGAGCCCCACACATTAAATTCTATTTTTTGGGGTGGAGGATACTAATATCTCAAAATCTGGATGGCTGAGTACCCCTTTAGTAATTTGGGTGAACCAACCTTTTAAAAATGAGGTTCTGAGATGGTTGGACTCATTCTGGCTGGGCTATAGATGTAACAGCATGTTTATTATAATGAGGATGAATGGATGAGCTTGAAGCTGACTGGAGCTTGGCCCACATTGTCCTTGTGGTTGCAACAAGCACCTTGGGGCATTGCGGTTTATGATAAATGAGTTGTCCTGCAAATAAACTGCAGTTATTGTCCATGCTCAGCAACACTCACCAAGGGTGAGCAGTGCTGGCCCTGCTGGTGCTGTGCAATAACAACGCACAGTGATGAGCTTAATCTATATTCTGAAATACACATCACAATAATGAGCTCACATCAAGCTCTCATAATGGAGGACTAGTTCAGTTTAGCCACTGTTAATCAGAGGGCAGCCAACTTGAAGGTGTTTGATCTTTGGGCAATCCCTTACCCTATCCCCCTAGTACGACATTAAATACAAATCAGTTATGAATGTTCCCATATGGCTAAAATATTTCAAATGTCTAAAGAGAGACAAAATGATTAATTGATTCTCAGAATAATAAAAAAATCAATATTACTTGAGTAATTGCAGACTACAGGCTACAAATAATTTAGGAATATGTCTGTGTCCTTTAGCCCATATTAACCAAGTGATTTTGTGAAGTGGTAAGAAGGCAACAGTGTTTCATTAGAAGGCTTGGATTTGAGAATGAGTGAATGATATGATTAGCAGCACACATGCAGCACATGCAACTGCTCTGAAAGGGCAGCACTGGTCAGTTCACATACCGGACTTTACAGAAAAACTGAAGCGGTCTGAAAAGAGTTCCACGATAGATGTCATTTCTACATTGACATGAACACAGAGAAAAGACGTAATGGGTTCAGAAATGGAGCAAATATCGATGTTGTGGACATACAACAAACAAGAGCTTGGGAGAGAGAGGGCTTGAGGAACATGCAGGACACAAACAGAGCTGAAAACATCTAACACTGATAAACAGGGAGTCTTTAAAGATGTTAATCAAACCTGAACAGCACCTGCAACGCTGAGTACTCCCAAGATAATCTGGCTTAATTGCCAGTATCAGTTGGGTTCAATAAAACACAAGATGTATGAGAACAAAACCTCCCACATGCGCTTCATCAATCTTAAAATATGTTAGTTGTAAATCTAACCCTCCATTTAAGCATTGTATTTCTAAAATGGTTTTACCACTGTTTACATGTGGATGACTTTTATAGAGAGCTAAAATGTAAAATGGTGGAGTCTAACATTTTTTTTACTAATTGTTTTCTTCAAGTACTAACTAGTGATGGGGAACATGCTGGAGGTGGTGGTACTATTATATTATATATAATATTACACGTTGTGTATGTTTTCAGTCCATGTAAGTGATTTTTTTTGGAAACGTGTAGATGATTCACAAAGTCACAGACCTCTCCACCACTTCGATATCAAAGCAGAAACGCTTGTCGATGGAATCAGTTTTCCGTCGAATGCAGGACTTGAGCTTGAACATCTCTGGCTGGTTCAGGACAAGACCATTCTAAAAAGAAACACACCATCCATTAATGAATATAAATTGGAATGACACATGACAAAACCATAGGATGGTGGCAGTCGGTTGATCTAATGCACCCATTTCACTAATTTGTCTGTAAATGCTTATAAATTAAGTCTGTTCAGTTGATTGTGTGGGAAACAAGACAACACAACTTTCTCTGTAAAAAGATTATTTTCATTCACTGAGTTTCCCTTTCTTGTTATTTGTCGATTTTGTTACCTTTGAACCATTTTTGTCCGTCTTGAGTTAACAAGTCTTCTGTTTTCTGTGCCAAATTTGCAATTCTGTCATGAGACTTTTTTCTCTCTCATTTCCTCTGGGGTGAGACATTCTTATAAGCCTCAAGGGGGTTCTTTGTTTCACCCACACAGATTATACTTGCCTAGTATTTTTTCAGCTTTTATGTATGTAACTAAGCTGAAGTAAAAAAAATCAACAGAACTAAACTAAACAAAACTAAACTAAAAAAAAACGAAACTACCTGTTTCCCGGCTGACTTATTTTCAGTGTTGCTCATGGTGAAGGTCTTGCTGCCTTTCTCATATGTGCAGTAGTGACGTGTCCAAGTGCATCCCAGAGGACCTAGGACAGAAAAATAAAGAGGAAAATGGTGGATGAGCCAAAATATTTTTCTCTGAATCACAGGCCTCTGGAAAGACTTCTGAAAATCAATTTGCAATTAAAGTGTGATAAATCAAAAGTTGTTTATCACTGCTGATAAAAATCTACCATTTGGGCATCTCCCCCCTTGTTTGAGAGCACATCAAAGTGAATCGGTAAACAGGATGAATTATGAGCTCTGTGTGAGAGGATCTTGTCTGCAGGGGCCTGGGAGAACTCAAGACATGTTTATGGTGATGGATGTAAAACCATGCACTTATAAGTGAGGGGGGGGGTGAGAAGGCCTGCCTGGCTTGGAGCCCGGAGAGAAAGACTCACGTTTCTCCTGGACATACAGGAAGCCTTCCATCGTCCACTGGCCTGGGGGTTTATAGTCCTGATCTGCAGACCTTATCCTCTTCATCAGTTTCTCCACTTCCTGCTTGGTGCTCACAAAGTTGTTTCGTGTCTGCGCAGAAAATGCAGGATCAAATTATAATTGCATTTGCAGAAAAAGTCTTGTGTACCTGCATTTTTTCATCTCAAAAATACACTTTTTTAGCTTCAAGGAGCAGACCGAAACAAATAAAGGAAAAATGTCTGACAAATGCTTTATATTTGTGCAGCTGCATGAGAACACCTGGGGAAAAGACAAACTAACACATTGGCAAACCATTTGGAAATACAAACACAGCTTTTAATTCAAATAGATAAAATTTATATTGGAAGAATTCACTTGAGGTGATCCAAAATTAGGATACAGACTCAGTTTTTAAAGCTCCCAGGAATCCTCTTTTTTGGAGTCAAAAAGGTCAGCATGAAGCCGTTTCATTTCCCCTACTAGAGAGATGCTGAGACAGCCTTACCATCTCCAGCTCCTATTAGAGCTCTCTGCATCTGAGGACATGTTGAGAGGGTTACGGAGTGGAAATTGTCAGGGCAATGGCGCTGACGTTTTGGGTCAGAGAGCAATTTGGGCCCTCAGGCTGCAAGTGGTGAGGTCATGGTGATGGAAAGAGAGGGCATGGCGATGTAGTTTTACTCCCAACTCTAACTTTTTTTTTTTTGACACAGTAGCATTAAATGGCCTGCAGTAACTGCTTGCGATACAACACTCATACAAAATATTGATCCTCTGTGCAGCGAAAAATCTCATTTAATCACACAGCTATCCATTTGTGAAAACTCTGCTTGTTATGTCGGGGTATGATAAGCTGCAGAATCTGATTACGTGGCTGGTTGCCTTTGTGTACAACCCCTGAGGTGTTGAGACTTACGTTCTGCAGGTTGAACTGGAGCTGCTGTTTGTATGGCTCAAATTCATGAGCTAGCTCATATCCTTCATGGTAGAATGTAAACAAGCCCTGAAGAAAGGCCAGGAGCTGGAGAGGAACAATATTTAATGGTGAGTTAATAAACAATATAAAGATAGCAAATTCACACCAGACAGCACATTTTAAAAAGGTATAATCCAACATAAATGTCTATTTTGAACAGCAGATGCAATAATCACTATTATAATCACACAATTATCATTATATCTCTAAAACATGAGAAATCCAGTCTGTAGTGATTTTACAGTCATGGATTTAATTATAATTCTATCGACTAAAAAGTAGAAGATAATTTAATTTAATTCTGTGCTAAAACTATCATTCTAATGTACATATTGCATTGTCAATTAAAACCTAATTAACTTCTTAAAAACATGACTGTACTAAAAAACATGAATTAGAAAATCTGACAAATTCAATATTTTTATGTTAATGCACTAAATACTGCACATAAGGTGAAAGGCTAAAAAAGAAAAGTTTCACAAAGTTGTAGTTCTCTGTGGCTGACAAATATTGATCTTATTTTTTGCATAACACACAAACATCCTTAACCACTGTGGAAAAAAGCACTGGCAGTACTGTTGGAGGAAAAAACGGATCTCATCTATAGCAAGGAGGATCCCACAAACATAGAGCTGCTCTCAGTCAACTCCTCAGACACATTTTATTTCTAGGATAAGGCTTGGTATATGAAATGTTCAAGGATGAACCATCTTATCTGTGCCCAGATTCATCACAGGCAAGGTTGAGCCTTGTCATTTTTCCCAGCACTACCTGGAGATTTACATTTCTGGCCTGGGTTCTGGGTCACCTGCCAGTGAATGTAAACAAATGGGAGTGGGGCGTTTAAAGCCACTTTATTCCCATCTCACGTTCTCCAACACTTAACACCTAGATAACTTAATGTTTCCTGGTAACTTTGCCACTAAAAATGTTAGAATTGACTCCACATATCTGTAAGGCGGGGGCTTTTATAGAAGCTTTAATTTGTACTTACACTCTGTCTTGTTTAGTTTGACAACAACCACTTTATCTAATTTTACCCACTACCCTCCCCAAATTGATAGACTATATTACAGAGGATTTGTGATCCAGATGACAGATGAGTGGAATATACAAGCATAGATATATACCTGTGGGAGAGGTATAATTATACCTGTCTTCAGTCGGGAGAAGAAACAGACAGACGGACATTTAAAAAGCCACTTTCATGAGCAGTAAGTACAAAAAGAAGAAGAAGAAAATGGCAAGGCAATTACTACATCTTCAATATGCATTCAGCACTAACTGAGCACAGAAATATGTAAAACTGATATTTCTCTTACCGGCTCAACAAACTCAAATTTCTTTTTCTCTTGCACTTCTTGTATTTTGAAAACGTACTCAAGGGACGCGTCATAAAAGAGTTGTCTCTCCTTATCAATCTGCGTGTCAGCCTGGGAATGAGCAAACAAACCAGGGTCAGTGCCATAACAAAGACAGGGGTCAAACGTTGAGAGCACTGTGTGGACAGAGAGTTAATGCTTACATCACCACCTGGAAACAGTGTGTGCTTAAAGAAGAAATGAGCAAAGAATAGTGCACAAACAATAGCTTTATTTTTAGGAGACACTCAGCAGACCATAAAACAGCATTATTCAAAGACATGTTGGGGATCAGAAAATTTGTTTTGGTTTTACCTCCTGCAGATATGCTTCCTTCTTTTTGGACGACAAGCCGAGGTGTCTCTCAAGCGTGGAGTAGTATTTCTCTGTTTCCTTATCAAATTTCTTCTTCCCCTCCTAAAAAGGTACACAAGACACATGAAAGGCTTAAACATTACCAAACATGTGTCATACATTCTTGATGTGGGTGTGTGTGATTCAACTGCCACTAGGTGGAGGTCTAACTACATTTTCACATAGCATTTGGCACGTCATTTATAATTCCTGTCAATAGATTATTACAGGTCATAAAAGTGGCATGTGACCGTGTAATGACGAGGAGACAGCGTCGGTGTGGTCAACAAGGACTATGCATTATCAGTGGGGCTTCTGAGAAACATACGCCATTATTCTCACAGTTCCCCAGCTGGAGACATAAGTTCACAACACATAACACTGTAAATCATCAATAGCATAATGTGTTTGGCACTGTCACAGACAGCACTGGCTGAGTGGTGTTTGCATTTTTCTTCCTTGTTATGCTCCACCTGCAAAGACAAGTCAAGCTCTGTAGTCATGAGTCCCAGGATTCAGAGTGTCCCAGAAGGCTCTGAGGAAGGAACAGGAAATGGGCTTTTCATGCCAGATGCCCATCTATAAAGCATATGGACTAAGAGATTGAACATTTTACCCCCAAAAAAAGCTCCACTTTGCAAGCCTTAATCAAACTCTGCCCAAGCAGGGAGAACCTGTCTGTGTGAGGCCATTCAAGTGTCTCATCTGCAAGACTGACCTCTAAACCAAGCTTTGCCCACTTAATGCCCATCTCGCTATGCAAACATTCATAAAGGGGCTAGTCGAGAGACAGAATGAGGGGGGGTGGGGAAAGCGTGAGGAAACGGCCAGTGTAACCAGATCCTGCTTGTTTGTTTTCCTTCCCATGGCCCTGAAATTTAGCAAGTCTAATCTAGTAGCTACTGATACGACCTAGAACCGTGTTCTGCCTCAGCAACCCCGACAGCAGTTAAACACACCGGAGGAATTCACCACAAGACACTGTAACCCTCCTACATAACTATTACAAGTATAGCACAAAAATCAATAGATAATTTAATGTAGGAGCATCTTATTTCCATCTTTCCTGTCATGTCTGACCCAGGAATGATCTTTTCAGGAGTGGGGAAGAAAATCAATTGTGTATTTGACTGCTATTTAGAAACAAAGAGAAAATAAACAGGTGAATTGCAAAATAAACATATGATTAAATATAATAACATGCTGACAGGAAATACATTTATTTTTAGAATCAAGTTTTTTTTTGTTACAGACCAAAAAGGGAGCTGAGTGTCGGCCACTGTGACTGCTGTTGACGTGACATTATTTTGTGAGCACGCATACAACTGGAGCCTTGGGGAAAATACCAAGACACACACACACGTTCATGAGTGCTACACAGACACACACACACACACACTAGGGATCACATTAAATTAAGAGCTTTAGGTTTAGCTGAGCCCCGCAGTCACAGCAGGAATCTCCCAGCACTGCTGACCAATGTGAGCATGCCAGAAAACTCCTCCGTAAGTCTGGACTAACTCTTTCACACTTACAAAGAGTGGGGAGTGACTCAGAGCTGCAGTGAGTCTGTGAGGCAGAGCCATCCTGATTAAGTCACCCAAAGTGTCCTGCTTTGTTTTGATCCAGGCAGGGCGTGTATAAACTGGTGCTATCTTAATGATACCCTAGCAGAACACCAGGTGTTTGTTGGTTTGTCCATGTGGTGAGTGCACTCCCACCCCAAACCCCCCTGGGTATGTTTGTGCAATCACAGTGGAATATGAGTTATTTAAATTGCAAAGACTCTCCTCGGGAAGCAGGGAGCAGTGTAGGCACAAGGCTTTGAAGCCCAACACGTGGTGGCAGAGGACATACAATAGATGTGGATAGATATATACCCTGAAGCACACAAGTTTCTGACACAAACTAATGCCAGTGCCCCAGAGTAATCAGCTGGCTGGGAATGGATAAAGCCAAAGCACTTCCCAACACTCTGTGGTGTAGAAAACACACATGGAATACCACTTGGGAGATTTCCTCATCTGATTGCTTTGTTCGCCCTCATGAATAAATCAGATGCAGGAAGAGAATATTCGGATGTAGATTTCTCTGTAGTGGAATGCTGTTAAGAGTGCTTTGATGCCAGCTGTCTGGGTCAGGATTTCTGCCAATGTATTGCAAAACAGGTAGCTCGCTCGGCCTAAATTGAGCCTCGTCTGGCTTAAGCTGAACCCCCTGCCGGGCCTAAGCATCTGGGATTTTTTTTTTTTATGTATTTTTAGAGATGCTTTTTAAACTACAGTTAAAGTGGGGTGGCTAGGTTGGAAAGATCACCAGCGACATCTGTTGGTTAAAACCTGAACGAACTATAAGAAAACAGCAGGTCTGAGCTCAGTGTTTGTTACTCTGATTGTGCGCAGGCTAAAATTCAACATTTGCTCTTGCAACTATAACAAGCAAACATCACCTAGCAACCTTAGCTAGTAATACAGTCGGCCTATGCCAGATGCTGCCTTTGTTACAGTTAGGGATAAGGTTAAAGAGGAAAGGTAAAAGCCAAAAAAATGGCCAAATACTGGAGGTGATGGTGAAGAGACTGCAAACATTCACTGATTCACCAAGTCAACAGTGTTAGCCCAAGCTTGAGGTCGAGGCGCAGCCAGCGAGCAGCCTGTCCTCATGCTCAGTAACGCCAATAGAACAAGAATCTCAGTAGCTTATGTCCTCTCCTTCATGAGCACTGATATGATAAGCGGCTGGATAGTTTGATGCAACATGGTAGCAATGTTACTTTGCTTGCTTTCACCTACCCAGTTTTCTTTTCGATTTTATTTTTAGTGGTCATGAAGGAAAGCACACACTTAAAAGCAAATTCACTGCCTTATGCCTTAAAGTGACTAGTTTTTATCTCATGGTTGATCTAGCACAGTAGCCAATCAGGACTTGAATACAAGTTTTTGTAGAGTGCAAAAACTTTTACATATATATTATTTATTTTAATTTTATGTTAGTTAGTAGTTGATTTTGAAAACACAGATTTCCTTGACTGTACATTGTCAGATTCTTTGTAAGACTCTGCTATAGTTATTGACTTTTTAATGTGTGTTGAATAAATTATATAATTACATACATAATTACTTATTACAGTCATATTTTCAAATCTCCAGACAGCTTTTAGCACAGACCTAATGGAATCTGTGTTATATATTCTCAATTATGTGATTCCATCTGTGATTCTGTTATCAAAAAAACCAATAGCGGCCTACCTTAATGCTGCCATCAGTCTGGCACCGGCCCATGCCTGGCCCTCATCTCCAACATTTGCCACAGTGCTTAACAACTTTTCTGGGTAAATCCCTGTGGGTGAGTTTGCTAATTGCTAATATAACGCTGCAGGGAGGAAATCAACAAGAAAAACTGCAAGCAGCTTCTCTTCTGGTCAGGTGTCCTCAGTTTGCTAACGAAAGGATGCTGGGAAAAGACATGAAGACGGCAGGAGGAATATTTGGACGCTAGCCATACATCGCCAGTTTTGACACTGGCCCTAACGAGCCTCAGGGCCATCATTTCTGAGCCTCTCATCACCATGGTAACAGATGTAAGCGGCAAGGGAGGTTGAATGTGTCTGTATATAGAGGAAAGAACCCCCGATATCACACACTATCACACTGTACTTCTCACGTGCATCCAATGCCCCGGAATAATACAAACATCAATGGCTAGCACGTTGTCATGTGCAGCATATTTCACCACACGTTCATTTTAAATGGATTCTCTGAGCAGTGACATGAAAGGGAGAACTCTGCAGCCTATTTCTATGAGCTCATTAAAGAAAGCTAATTGGAGCAGGGGTCCAGAATGGCGATTAAATAGCAATAGCCAGGTTATTTTGATGCTCCACCACACATGAGCTGGTCTCGCTTCCACAGGGGAGACAGAGGGAACACAAGGCTTCAGCTTGAGTTCGGTTACTTTGCTGTAAAGCCAAAAAATGTCTCCCTCTTTACCTGAAATCCCATTTCCTGACGAGACATCACAGACAGCAAGAAGTTGGCCAATTAACACGAAATAATTACAAACATCTGCTTCTGAAGAGTTGAAAAACAAATACTCAGACTTCTAAATAGACCACATTTTGTGTGTGTGTCAGGCAAACTGCAGAGCCTTAGTCAAAAAAATAACTCTAATCAGTGCCCCTGCTCTCTCTGACACATGGTGTAATAAGTATAAACTAATAAAAATAAAAGTACAAGAGCTCCATACACTGTACACTCTTATTCCTTCTTCTGTATTACCTCTGTATCTGATCTGAAACTAATTATAAGGTCTGAGCAAAGCTGCATGGAGAAAAAAAGCTGTTATATTTATAAAATCAACCTTCAAAAGCTTCTTATTATGTTGGGAAAAGGTCTTTTGACAAGCTCTGCATGAATATAGATCTATACTGTATCCTATAGGGATGCCTTAGGCTTCTCCCTGTCAACCTAAACCTCGCTCTCACCACCTAACCAGAGAGATAATGAGTGGGAAAAGACAACTTGGAAGTTCAAGTTAGAAGGAACTTCTTGTTAAGATGACACATCCGATGATTATTTGCTTTGGACTACGTCACTGGTCAGTGTTGCCCTTGAGTAAGTCCATGACTAAGGAGCGAGATAACAGTAAGTTCTTTAATGTCAGTATTCAAACGATCTTCTGGATAAACCCACATATTTCTTATGAGGGTCAGTTGAGTTTGTTTTGTTATGCATTTAATGTGCATTCTAATGGTCAGACCTGTGTGTTTTATTTTTTATTATGAAGATCATTTTCACAACAATTCTGCTTTATTAAACCCAAACACAGGGAAGACTGACATGATTCAGGTCATTCCCTTTCTGTGGTGAATCTTTCCTAAGCACTCAGTCCTGTGTTCAGTGTCACTTTTCTCTCCAGAGAACAGTGAATACACTGGAAGAAAATAAAGTAATACTACAAGCCATTATGTCAGTTCATCCTTCAAAATGATTCCATGAAGTCATTGCTCAACTGCAGTGCATGACTAACTGACGGTTAGATTAAAGGTTATTAGATTAAAACTGAAATCCATGAATTCTCAGGTTAAAATCTGCCATGAATACAGTGAGATTAGTAGTACTCAAGAATCAATCATTTGTTTTGTACATCATGTAAAAAGTTTTGATTTGCTTGTCTTTAATTTCGTTGTGCATTAATTATTTCATGACAAGAATAATGGATAATGACTCATAATATTTTGGGGCTTTTCAATTTAATTATGTGCAATGTTGCTGTTTGTATATAAACTAATTTAATACATGCTGCTTTTGCAAAAGGAAGGAAGCTAATATGTTCACAGTGTGTGGTTGCTGCCTCCAAATAGGTGAGGACTGACCTCTCAAAGACTGCCTTGTGAAATTCTGGTGATCAGGAGAAAAAGTAATTACTTTCTGAAAGATTGTTTTAATGGTGTTTCTGCTTTATTGGGTAAGGCACAGTGGAAAGTGATGGGGCAGACATGAGAATAATGGAAATAAATACTTTCAATTTGCATCACCTTATTCATGCATTTTCTAGTTTTTGCAGCATGATGTTGGCGTCTTCTGCATTGCTGTCTTAATTCATTTTTTCTCTCACTGGTGAAGTGTTTAAAAGTTTGTTTTATCTTACTGCAGTGTGCATTTATTTTATTAATCAATAATATATTAGTGTTTATTATGCAATATGATTAGCATATCTCAGGACATCAGTTCCATCTTTGATCATCTGGTATTTTGTTACAGCTGGGATGTGCTGTGCTGTGCTGTGCGGTGGGCAACTGCCACAGCCTATGATTCATAAACAGTGTAAAAGGTTTAGTGCTCAGATGATTAGTTGATGAGGGTAAGGTAAGTGGAAAAAAATCAATTACAATTCTGATAATCAATTAAAATCATGTGTGATATTTGAAGGTTTCTTACTCTCGGACCATTTGGTGGTATCAAGACTAAACCTGTCGCCATTTTGATCCCCAGACATTTTGTAAAATGATAACATGATGCAATCATATTATCACAATTCGATTCCACTGAAAATTAATTTAACGCTCGCTTTTGCCCAGATCCTGTTATTTGCAAAAATAAATTTTAGAGAGATGTTTAGAAGAGAGGGCTTTTAGTCATGTGCACGAAGAAGGTTCTTCGAGTTCTACTGACTTGCCACAACATCCCAAGGTTAATCCAAATACAAAAATGTACTGTACATATTTGTATGATATGAAAAGTTTTAGTGTAACCCGCACCTGGCAAGAATATTCCCAAATCACTTCAATTGATCCCTTTACTCCACAGCGTCTCAGGATATTTTCAGATTTCCGAGCATAAATGCAAATGTCATTTCTGCCTCTGGAGACCATAACTAGCCAAGAATTATCTGATGTCTGTGCACCCTTTGTAGGATGAGGACAGCTCAAATTATCGGTGGCCATCTGACTCCCATCTGGGTCTATTTGCACTGATTCTTCACACTCAGCTAGTGTGGGATCCCTATGGTGCCCCTAATGTTGACGATCCTTGAAGGGAATATAATATTGTTAAAATTTCAGTGAGCAAGAATGCCACCCATTATTTGGACACCCCCTAGTACTTTGTTGAGAAAGTGTCCCTGGGGTCTGTTTAAATTTCAAGGCCTAAAAAAAAAACTGACAACCTACAAACAAACACACACATACACGCACACACAAATACTGTGGACCCAGCTTAAGGCAGTTTACCTCCAATGAATCTCAGTTTGTGGGGGGAAAAAAAACAGCAGGTCTATGTGAGAGTTGAGGCCCAAGGTTGAGGTCTAAGTTGTAGGAGATCAGTTAGCAATTTAGTGGATGAACAGAAGAGCTCACTGTGTTGAAACAGTGCCAAGAACGGTAGATACACACTGAAACCAGGACAGAGTTTCATTCCTTATTTCAGTTCTGAAGGTATTGTTCTTTGCCTGAGAATGCAGAACTTTCAGCTCACAAAAATGTATCTGAAATAAAAAAAAAAGGTGTAACAATAATTTCAGTTCTACATCTCGGTTTGGCAGCCGGCACATATGATTATGTCCATGTTCCAGTGAAAATACATGACTGTTTAAACTCTTGTGGCTTTCTTGGTGTGTATTTGTTATACACTGTGCAAAGTTTAAGGGGTTTTATTCCAACACTTGGTTCAGCTTTGTGTGAAACAGACTGTGCCTAATATGTCCTGTAGTGCTGCAGTCAATCTGCTAGTGTGTTATGGTCATGGAAGTGTTGTGCTTGTGCCTAGGAAACTGATACACTGCTACGTAACCTCAGTGGGATTACTTGCAGTATACCCAAATAAGGCAAGAGCTCCCCGTTTGTCCATCTGACGTTCTCAGACATGAAGTGCAGTAACTGTAAGGGTCAGACAGCCTGCAGATCTCTCCAGATTCTCGGAACAGTGGAAAGTTGCTCAGTCACTCGTGATGTCTGCCTTTTATCTCACTCTAGTTGGGCTAATGTTTAGTGGGGGATGGGCCGTAGGAGGAGAGAGCCATTAGGAGGAAGTGGTCGGAGGAAATAAGAGGTAGTGGGAGTGACAGGGGCTGTGGCTTTTAAGAAACCATTTTATAAACATGGAGAGTCAGTGCAATAACACTGAGCACTATGATGGGGGGAAGTGAGAGAAAGAGATGGCTACAAAATGTGCGATTTCATTATGGTAGATACATGTGATGGTCGAGACATTAAGCGACAATGGTTATTTAGTCTGGGCAGTAAAAAGGAGAGTGATTGATGTTCACAACTCAGCACTAAGAAGAAAAATAGTTATTTTACATTGCAGGTTGGATTGTGAGGACACCAATGAAGTACAGTAAAATGACTATTTTTATAGACCAGTTGCTGTCAAGTCATGTAAAATAAATCAAGATGGGTGAGAGTCTGACTTTGAGGCTGGAATGTCCCTCACAGGGGTTAGGGTTATGTAAAGATGTGCGAATGATTCACAGAGCCGAGCGTAGAGTTAGTGATGGACTCAGAAACTCAGTGGGAGATCTGTGGAGAGGCTTGAGTTCTTCTAGCTTTTCGTGTGTGATCCCACCAAGGGAATAACCACAAACAAGCTGCCGTGCTTTCATTTTGTGCCTTTGCGTTGGCCAGGAATGAAAGCATGGCTTGTAGCAAAAAGCCCACACTGTTCTTTGCAGTCAACACTGGCTTCAACAACATATCCACTGTGGAACCAGGATGCCTTCAAGCTACATTATGCAGAACCCCTACTGATATCAGTCCTCTATATCCAATAGGTTAGGGAGGAATGCATTACATCTAACAGGATTACAGTAATCTGATTACAAATGCATTAAAGAAGTCCTTGTTGCTTGATCATGTAGAAGTATCTTTGAAGGAGGAACAGCACTTAGACTGTGTTACAGAAGGCTGTGACATACTTATTTTCATCACATCATTTTCAAAATCTAATATGTAATTTGCAAGATATAATTTGTACTGAATTATCTTTGAAAAAAACACTCACAGCTCTATTTGTGAGTAATGTGTCTGCCAAAGACGAATAATTCTTCAGTTCAATATGCTACCTTCAACTAAAACATAAACTAGCCATCCTAGAAAACAGAAGATCTTTTTAACTCACAAGTCTTAATATCTTTTAATATCACACTTGCAAACTGATGTCTTTATTTGTATCCCCTATGAGTCTGATTAAGCCACTTCTCTTAGCAGTGTCACGTTTTACTTTTAATTAATGATTTACATACTGTAGGGGAGATGAGGGGAGTGAGGACGAGAGGCGAGGGTGTCAGAACACATGAAATATCCTCCGCTGTTCAATTGCTAATTGCGCGTGGAGGAGGTCTCTTACCTTCGCAGCACCGATTTGCTCCTTGCGAAACTTTTCCAGGGGAGTAATCAACACATCATCAGCATTCTGAATCTGAAATGAAAAATAAAGAAAAATACAGAGACAGACAGATGTCAGACTCAGATATGAAGTCTAATTTATTGTAACCTTCTGAATAATTCAAAATTACTAGAAGGACAAATATCCCAAAAATCTTTAATCTAGTAGACACACGGGAAATTATAGCACCAAAGATTTTCCAGCCCAAGTCAAATACAGATGCAAGTCCAAACGCAAGTGGAGGATAGAGCAATCATATTCATTAATATCTCTTAAGCCAGCGACAATGAACAATGTGCTACTGTGAGGTACCCAAAATGAGTACAGCAGAGATAGTAGATAGAGCACTCAACAATGGTTCTGCTGGATAGAAGAAAATTGAGCCTTTTTATGTGAGCTGTGAAGCACCAGCATTGTCGAACCTCGCTGAAATATGACACAGCACAGCAGATGAGGGAGCTTTACAACTGCAGCATGCAATGCATTTAAATGTTTGAGGTATGTCTCTACACATTGGTGACCTCTCCCGCGTCATGACCGGAGTAAAAGGTCTCTCCTGGAAACCTCTTCTTTCTCATTCCAGACAGAAATAGATAAGGGGAGATATATTGTACCAATTACAGTCTGCCCTCAATCCTTACGAGTGAGCGTTTCGGCAAGGTGCCATTAAGGTGCTTCTGAATTTCCCGTGGATGGGCTTTCATCCACTGAGATCAGATGACATCAGACTGGTGGGGCTGCTCTACAGGAGGTGCTGTCACAAATGCCATGCTCTTAGGTTGATTTAAGGTGTTATTCTGTGTGGTGAGTGTATGTGATAAAGTAAGGGCTGAGCTCTATAATACATCTATGATACCAGCACTAATTTAGAGGTGTCGGCTCAGATGGACTATCAGCTCCCCTTCCCCTACAGTCCTCTGAACACACGCCGTCTTGGGATAGAGTTTTTGTTTTGAACCATTAATCACAGCGCATTTTCATTGTCCCAAAATAACCCTGTCAGCTCCATCAGCCAACCAGAACGAGTGACTTCAAAAGAAGCTGCAATCTCTCTGAGCCCGTAATGTTTCCTTCTCCTTTTATATGCAGTGCTGTGGGATGTTGTATGCTTGTAGTGTGAATTTGTAACTTTGTTGTAATAATGTACTTTAATTACGCCGTGATATTTGTGGTCTATCAAATAAAGACAGATGTTTCACACTTGAAACCATAATCAGATTATAGCTGTTACACTACATTACAATTCTAAATAACTGTTGTCTAGTACTGTGTTTCCTATATAATAAACATTCATAGTTTACGCTAAGCAGTAAACTAAGATATCAGACATTATGGATCATCATTTTGTGCAACAGGTAGTATTGTATTGGCTTGAAAAAAAGTTGCATGCAATGAATGACACAAATAAACCAAAACTAAAAGTTAAATGAAAACAAAAGAAAGCAAGGGGAAATCATGCTGAACTTATTCATTAACTGATTAGTTTAATATTGATAACTAAAAATGCAAATAAATGCAGCCCCATACGCAACAAACTGTGATGCACTGTGTGTTCTGACACCTTTCTTTCAGAACCAGCTTTAACTTTTTCAGCAAATTGAGCTACAGTAGCTTGTCTGTTGGATCAGACCACACAGGCCAGCCCTTGCATCAGTTAGCCTTGGCCGCCCAGGACCCTATTGATGGTTCACCACTTTTGAATCGTCACTCCACCTCTTTCCCTTCTTTGGACCACTTTTGATAGGTACTGACCACTGCAGACTGGGAACACCCCACAAGAGCTGCAGTTTTGGAGATGCTCTGATCCAGTCGTCTACCCATCACAATTTGGCCCTTGTCAAAGTCACTCAAATCCTCACGCTGCCCATTTTTCCTGCTTCTAACACATCAACTTTGAGGAC